AGATCCCACCAAATACACACAGAACAGAGACAACAGCATACTATCAAGTCTCAGCTGACAGGAAAAAAAAAGACCAAACCCACTCAGTTGCACACAGGAGATAAGCAATGCATCAGATGCCACCCCTCAGCACAATGAGACTGTGTCTTCAGAAACCACGAGTACCAATACCAGCTCCTCATCATTACCATCCAATGTCCTACACCCTACATTCCCACTCCCGAACTCCTTCATCTCCTTTCACCTGCAAAAACCCAAGACTCATTTCTGTTCTACTCTTCATTCTCCAATTCCCTTTCTATGGAAGTATCTGCATACACAGTTTACTTCAGAGAATACTCCAAGCTTCTTAAATGTTCTGCCACACTGGCTTAATGTTCTTCCCAAGTAGTCAATGGTTTTGGTAGAGGCAAAAGGGTATCCAGGTACTTTTCCTGTAACACTGAAATACGTGCAAATTTTAGAATGGCACATCAGTTATGAAAATGAGTCAAGGACTGCTACACATCTGCAAGGGAGCAAAACAAAGCATTTCATCAGTAAACATCTCCACACTTCACTTTTTCTGGACTTCAAGGAATGCAGCACAACAACTTATCTTTTGTTAAGAGTTCAATAAATTCTTTTCCACTGTAATGAGGTGCAAGAATGGATTCAGTTAAGATTCTCTGAGATCAGAAGAAGAGGAAGTGGTAAATGTATCGCTGAAAATACAGTGGGTTCTCACTGATACTACAAATACATACAGGGCTACTTTAAGAGGAATGTGGCAAGCGGCTCTAGGGATGTTGCTATCCTCCTCTACCCAGCAGTATCCAAGACTGCTTCTAGAATACTGTCTTCAGTTCTGTCATCACAGTTCTCCCTTTCCCCAGTTCAAGAAAGAAGTGTATAAACTGGAGAGAGGCCAGAGCTACTAAGATGGTCTGGGGTCTAAAGCAAATTACCTGTGAGGAGGGGATGAGGACTTGTTTAGTAAAGCAGAAGGTAAGGGAAGACTTAGTAGACACACACAACTTCCCAAAGGGCCCTTACAAAGAAGATGGGGCCAAAAAGTTCTTGCCAGCAGATTATATAACTAATAATTAACTATAAAGCTACAAACTGCAGCTTGGAAGATTCAAGTAGAAACCAAAGACTGTCTTTTCCAGCACACTTGCTTCAAGGAAACCAGGAAAACCAAGTTTCCATTCTGAAAAGCCGCAAGAACCACTTATGTGTCACCTGAAACGGGTGACCCAAATGCTAGCATTCATTGTGACATTGATACGACATATTAGCAATGCTTTTAAGGATACTGCCGATTTCAGGAAGTTGGTAGTTATATCAATCCCTCTCCAGCCGTCTATAAACTTCCCTGTGAGTCCCTTTTCCAACACTATAGTACCTGTTACCAATCACGCTGTATATTAGTATTTCTACTAAGCACCAAAAGACCCGCCAGTACCCTGTCTATTCAAGGTACTAGGTAAAGCCACTAATGACTACACTAATGACCACAACCACTACAATGACTAATGTTACCCCTTACCAAGATTTATCACAAAACACAGACTGTATTTTCTTCAAGTGAATGAACGAGGCTGTCTATACTTTGCCCAATTTCAGCCACGATAAAGAAGACAAATAAAAATGTCTAAGTAGGAAAGAGTTACAAGGTTTTTTTACCCATACTGCTACTGAGGGAAACAGAGCAATAGAACTTCTACGAGTTTATTTTTACAGAAACATGACACTGAAACTAAAACCTCATTCACCTCATTTTAACAGATTTTCAAAAAGATATGACAGAACACTTGCTGTGTTGCTCTGTGCAACAGCTGAAACAGAAATGCAAGCTGCAGTCCGCCCTCATGCTCTGAAATGGCTTTAAACCATTTGACTTTAACCGCAGTCAAAACCTGCTTCTGACGATACGGTTTTAACATTCTATACGTAAAGCTTGGGTAAAACAAAAACCTTCATTATGTCATCTCTACCTGTGGTACTAAATGCCCTTCTGCAGCATGGTACGGCAGAAGAGTGACAGAGGCGGAGTGCGATGAAAAAGAAACTGGTGTTGAAATGAAGTTTCACGAAACCAAAACCCACCGGGAACACGCTATCTATAAAGGCCAAGGTTGTTCTCACGTGCCATGAATGCTAATTTGACAGCCACGGCAAACACGCTGCAGACATGACTTCACCCACGAGACAGGGAAAGAAGCAAGGCACACAGGGGCAGAAGTAGGAAGCTGTATCAGTACCGTACTTCGGGACATGTTCTCATGTTTTATACATCTTGTCATCTTCTCAGGTAACAAACCAGAGAAGTAACTCACCACGGCCGCACCGATCTGGCCTTTGCTTCAGGGAAGAACCTGCTTCACAGTAAAACTTTGGCTGCTGTTCTTCAACCTGCAGGAAGAAAATAACCACCCTTAGTAAAGGCCAAAACCTGCGCTTTCCTAGCAAAAACAAGGTCTGCCAGCACACTGTGCAGCTTAACGCCTTGTATTCTCCTGATGCTTTCCCGTGGGTTCTACCCCAACAGAAAGCTGCTTCAAGGAGAGACCAGGAAACAGTTCCCTGGGATTCACAGACTCAGAGAATCGTTTCGGCTGGAAAAGACCTTGAAGACCATCAAGTCCAACCTTCCAACCAAAACCAAGTTTTGGTCACAGTCCTTCTCTTCTAACTGGGAGGCAGCGCTTCGCCGCTGCCAAACAACACAAAACGCCACCGCGGAGCTGCCTCCCCCCCGGCGGCCCGCGGGAGCCAGCACAGCACGCAAGACGACACACGGAGCCGCCCCGGCCC